TTCACCGCCTTCAACAAGCGCTCCTCCCCCATCATCTGCAGCACCAGCAGCAGCAGCAGCAGCAGCAGCAACAGCAGCAAGCATTAGCAGCTACAGCAGCTACTGCAGCAAGAGCTCAACCGCAACTAAGCCGAAGGATTTCTCTACACGAGTAATCTCCTTTCGTTTCTCCCTATGCATCCGCTGTATGTGTGTACTTAACGCAGCTGCTTATAAACTATCTAAATAAACCAAACGGCTACGTTTGGCTGCATTCAGTCTATAGCGAAGGGCCCGGGTGTCTATACACCTCAGCTAGCGGGAGAGTGCAACTCACGCGGTACAACGAAGGAACAACACAAATCCTTCACTTCATTTCCACTTGCTCGGTGCTGCAGCATTTGCTGCAGAGACCTTCCCATGGCCCCATCAACTGCAGCAACAGCAGCAACAGCAGCAGCGGTGCATCCGCAGCTGCACACACCCAACCGCAGCCCGGCGGCTGTTGCTGCTCCTGCTGTCTCCGCATTTGCTTCTGTTTTTGCTGCTGCATTCATGCAGTTGCAGGGCTTCAGCCTTTCCTGGTGTAGCCAGGGACGAGCAACTGCCTCCCAGAAGAGCGCATGCAGCCCCGTGTCTGTTGTGCTGCTGCGTCCATCGACAAGCGCCTTTGCTGCTAGCTGTCCTAGCAGGCGGAAGTGGCTGAATAGCTGGCGCTCCAGCTTGCCACTTGCTGCTGCTGCTGCTGCTGCTGCAGTTGCTCCCGCTGCTGCAGCTGCTTCAGGTGGCGGAGAACCCCCAGCACTGTTGCTGCTGTTGTTGCTGCTTGATGGCTCCACATCTTCCTCCATATCTTCTGCCCCTTCAGTGGGGGTTGCTCGGTCTGTCCGGCTAGCATTGGCTCTTCTGCGGAGTCTTCGCTGCTGCTGCTGCACAAGAGGAGAAGCTCGCGGGCGCCGCAGCATTTCTACTGGGACCAGAGATATGTCCGTTAAGTACGCGCGCGGGAATAACCCTCCCCCGCTGCTGCAGTTCAAAAACAACTCGGGGTCCTTCCATGATAGCAACGCCTCAAGCACCTGCAGCAGCAGCAGCAGCAGCAGCAGCAGCAGCAGCAGCAGCAGCAAGAACGACTGCAGCAATCAACAGCCACTGGACCTAACTGCTATCTACAGAGAACGACGACAGTCTATCCCTATACACTCAACCCCAAACCAAAGACAAAAAAAAAAAGAAAAAAAAAAGAAAAATTAAAACATTCAGCACCCACCTCTGCATAAAATTCGTTCGTTGGGCCCTGGCCCACTCCCTCTTCGCCTGCGAACTCCACCTCTAGAACGGGCTGCTCCTCACTGCTGCGGCTGTTCGCCAGCAGATGGTCCATTACCTGCAGCAGCAGCAGCAGCAGCAGCAGCAGCAGCAGCAGCAGCAGGAGCAGCAGCAGCAAACAGATGACGCCCACAAACAAATGCAGATGAAAACCATAAACCTAAACATAAACATAAGCATAAAACAAACAGTAAAAAAAGAAAGAAACAAACAAACAAACAAGCGGGAATGCAGGGAGAGGTCTCGGTGCTTACCTTCGCCGCACTCTCCACCAGGTGGGAGCGGGGCATCTTCACTTTTGTACGAGGCAGCGATGCTCCCTGAGAAGACAGTGCAAGCAAAACCCTAAACCCTAAACCCTAAACCCTAAAACCTAAG